CCTAGGGAAGTGGTGCTGGCTCTTAATGTGGGGAGCATTAAGAAGAGGCTTGATGACTACCTGGCTGGACTCATTTGAGTCTAGTCTTTTCTCCCGCCCAGGCGGGGGGTCAGACCTGAAGATCTACAAGGTCCCTTCTGACCCTACTTCTATGATTCTGTGATAAGAAAAACAGCTTTTTCTCCAAAACTGAACCTGAAAATTTTAAGTTGACCTAGCTTGGGTCAATCCCACAACTGGAACAGTACTGTATATCGGTGATTCTCAACCTCCATTAGACTGGAGACATCCCTCAGAAGATGCCAGCTCTTAGCTTTCAGTCATGTTTTAACTACAGAGAAAGCAATTCTTCTATTGTACAGTGACACCCCCCTCCCCCACGACCACATGTCAGGATGTCTCTAACCTTGTGGATTTGTATTTGAAAACTTTGGGTTTATTTTGTAGGTATTGGCATACCTAACAGTGCTGCAGCATGCTGATTTGGGATTTGCTGTTGTATGTGCATTTGAGAGAGTTCAGTAAGGAGACAGATTTGTTCTAATGATCAGACAGAACTATTCTACAAATTGTATAAAACATCAAGTCTCTGGAAATAAGTGGGGTGTTGTAGACCGTATTGTTTTATCTATAGCCTCTTAAGAGCAAGACATGACTTCCATATTAAAATTTCTGTGTTAAAAATGCACTGGCTAACTTGTAAGCCCAGCTAGTTGTACATGTATAGGAGTGTCTTTTGAGGAAAGATGCTGTCAAATTTGACAGTATATCATGTAAATAATCTTTGCATTAGATTTTACCTTTAAGTATCTAAGATTTTTAAAGCTGGATCATATTAGTTTTAAGTTGGGTGGAGCAAATATTTATACCCTATTGCATAAAAACAGCCTAAAACTTTCTACATGAAATGTGGCAGAGTCTACAGTGTGCTGTCTTAACATCATGATTTTCAGCAAAATTAGTGTTTTCTGTATTGTGGAAATTCCTAGTTTATGCATCATTGTACTAGGTATGTATGAATACAGAAGAACGTGTCCGCTCTAAAGTGGTCACAACCCAAAGTATAAGCAAATCCATGCATCTGAGTAAAATATCGGTGTATCCATTTAATATTATATTGTCCATTAATAGAAGGGATCTCTATCTATCTCTTTAAACCTTGTAGCAAAATGCTGAATCTACTTGATTACCATAGTCTTCCTGGGAGCAAGACCACATTGGATAGTTACAATTCCACTTAAGGACATTGTGGTCACTGCCTTGTTAAACATTTTTTTTTTTAATCTTAACCTAAAATCCCAGAAGTCACCAGTAATCGCAGATGAATTACTTGTGTTTGGAAAATGTTGAGTGATGGGTATGCCCTCAAGTTCCCTAAAGAAGTAAGTGTCAGAGCAGGGATGCTAAAAGAAGTTACTGAATACTGTCTGGATCTAATTTGGATAGCCATCTCTCCTCTCCTTTCAGGACTTCTGACAGGTCATTTTGACAGTCAGCCCATACATACATGTGCATGTCTAGCAAGTATTTCATGGTAAAGGGCAGATAGCACAACAGTACTTCTGACTGCTTCTTGTTTGTCCTTCTTATGACCATGTTTCAGAATTGACTCTATCCAAATTGCATTGAGTTGACACTGGCTTTTTTGTTTTGTTTCTAGCACCTCAGCAGCAGGTTCTTGTGCCAGATTCCAAGCTGATACAGCACATGAATGCATCGGGGATGGTAAGAATTTAAAGTAAACCTTGAGTTGGCTAGTGTTATATAAGATGGTCTGATTAAATGGTAGAGATAAAAATCTGGTATGAGTCATCTGAAATGTGTGTTTAAACAAAAAACCAAAAAAACCCCAAAAGATACTGCACAGCTGAATGCTGTCTGAGTTGTACTGCTTTGCTGACGGCGCAAGCAATTTATCCGTGGCTTATTTTGTCAACAGATCTGGGGTTTAGCTTGATCCTCTCTAAATATAGATTAGGCTAAGAGTGGTTTGGGGTCAGACTAATACTGGTGCAAATCTGTATGGTGTTGAGCTCTTCACATACAGACAGTCCCTTTGTTAACATAGTACAAATCTTCTGTTGTATTTATTGGATGCAGGAAGGTCGTTCTGAAACAGTGTAAATCTTAAAGTCATAATAATTTACTCTGTAGGAGTTTGAATCAACTTTTCTGATCATCATTTGTTTTGACTCCATAAAAAGTAATCTACTGTTGTTCAATCTAACCATTTCCACATTATTTACAATTAATATTTTTCCCATTGCTTGACATTAAGCTTGGTTTGTAATTCTGTAGCCCAAGATGACACAATTTATGTCAAATGAATTTAGTTCAGTCTAAAATGATGTGCTAGAGAACATCAACCAGTGATCTGGACACCCTCATTGTATATACAAAAGCACAGTAAAGAGAACTGAATTATTAATCGAATTAGCAGTTGGTTACTAGCCCATCACCTGATGGATTACTAATCTTCTCTTAAAGATCTTAGTCCCACTTGACTAAGCAGTATGGTCAACTGGAGGCTGCTGATTACTGCTTTATTTTTCCTTGTAAAAAAACAGTGGATGAAAGCAGAAAGATTATTTCCATGCCCCTGCTGCTGTGTTGAATTTTTTTTTCCCTGGCTCTTCCTGTCCAGTCATACCTCACAGAATATAAATGGCTGTCAAAGCATATGCTCCCCCCTTAGTAAAAGTCGACATGCTTACTGTAGAGGACAGCACAGAATCTGTATAGCTAGTGCATAAAATAAACACTAGATTCAGAAAATTACTTTTAAGAAACAATCTGTCAGAGAAACTCAAGTTATCAGACAGTTTAGTAACTGTAAAAGTAAAGGACAGCTCACGTTTTTCTTTGGTAAGGAGGACGAAGGAATGGTGGGAAGAGCTGTAGCTTGCTTCAACTATCACTATTTGGGAGAGTCTAAGGAACAATTGCATCAGTCTATCAGTAAGATTTCTTAAAAACAAGACAAACACAAAACACACCCTGTTTTATACAATAATAAAGTTTTAAATCCTTACCTCTCTTTATTTGCAAGTTTGTAAATCAACATGAAAGTACAACAATAACCTGAAGCACTTCACATACTGCTACAAATGTTCTGCCTAAACTCAAAACTAATTTAGTCTTGTAGAACTTAAAAGCTATGCAAAGCTTCAGTTTGACTGCATTTGATCTATTCTGACAGTCAACCTATGCATGGTTCTGACTCCTTTCTTCCTTCCTTCTGAAATGCTTATCTTGGAATAAAATACAAGAACTTATTTTGGGTCTCAACTCAGTTTAAATCCAGGAAGACTCTTATAGATTTCATAGACATTAGGACTGGAAGGGACCTCAGAAGATGGAGTCCAGCCCCCTACCCCAGGGGCAGGAAGTTAGCAGGGGTTTTTAAGCTGTTTCACACATACAATTCCACCCAATCACCACCCCCCAGCTCTTCCTTTAAACTCTTCACAAGTTGGTGAGTCATTTCAGGCTAATTTCCAGTGAGGAAGGACCTCCAAAGGAAAAAGCTCACCATCTCATTTAGTGGTGGGCTTCTTGTCCATTGCAGCACAGAAGCTGACATCTTGCTATGGCAAAGATCTCATCTCAAATACAGAAGTGCAGGGAGGTAACAAATGCAAGGACTAAGGCCAGAAGGGACATCTGCCCTATTGCCTGAAAGCGAAGTGAAAGTCCACTTAAAAAAACCTCTGAAGAGAATCACAGAGGCCCAAAGCACTGGCGGGCCATGACAGTAAAGTCTAGATGGCAATTTTAAATCTTCTGTGAACAGCACAAAGCATTCACTAAGGCAGACTCAGAGAGGGGGCACATATCCCTGGTCCTGTATTGGCCTCTAATTTGAGAGCAAAGGAGAACACTCAAAGTTTTAAGAGGATTGGTAAGTCTAAGGCTACCCCACAGCCATTGTGTCAGTAGTTTACATGAGGGCTCAGTTCTCCAAGCCCCAGTGTCTCTGCCTCTCTGACGCTTGTTCCCAGTGCCCCACATGAGGGTCCCCTGCCCAACTTATGGAAGAAAATATCAGCTCCCTAGTATAATGCATCAGCCAACAGCTCAGACCCATTGGGGCCACCATTCAGCTTGAGGTGTAAGTTGGTGGTGAGCAGGACAGCAAGGAACTGTGGGGTCACCCAAGGTCCATAGTGGAGCTGCTTATCCTGATGCTCCAATCCCTTGGCTTCATCTGTCCTGTCTGGGAGAAGCAGCTCCTGAGGCCTTCTGGTGGGTCGTCTGGACCTAGCATCCACTGCTTGTTTCCACGCTGCTTCCCATCTACCCTCCATCCATTTTCCCACACATCTTCCCATCTGTCTGGCTGTCTAGCAGTTTGTCTACCCACCTCTACCCACGCTGTCCATTTTTCCACAGGTTGGTGTGTCTGTAATCACATTGGACATGCCATGTTTGTTTATAGATAGCTGTGCTGTTCACCCTGTCTCTCTGACTGTTTGTCCCTGCTCAAGTCTTAATACAACTCAAGTACCCTGCTTCAGTGGCACGGAGACTGGGGCAAATGGCTGGAAGCCCAGATATTGAGAGTTCAGGGTTATAGCAGAAGTGCTCACAGCTTGGCCATGTGAAATTCCAGTGACTCTGTGTATTCTGCTAAATACCTTGTCACAAGGAGAAAGTACAATTTGGGTGTCAATTTATTTTTTTAGACTACTTTGAGATTTTTTTCAGCATTTGTTTGACAGTTTAAACTAAAAGGAACTAAGTATGTATACACACCAGAGATGTATGCCCACATCTGGGTTCTTAGTTATACAGTGGACCGGTAAGGTAAAATTGAACCTTATGATAAATACCTGTCTTGTTTGTGTATGATGATGCTAAAATAGTAGCTTTAAGTACAAATGCAAGTTCTTTGATTTCTAAATCTCCATGTAGTAACTTGAGTACAACATTAGGATTCTTCCACAAGTTCTTGAGCAATCAACTCTAAGCTTTGGTGCTTTTTTCTTTTGTATACTGATAACATATCCAGAGAGGTTAGTCAGTTGTTCTTGGAGTGTGGACTGCAGAATCCTAATGCCACGCTCTTTCATACCATCTTTATTAGGCTAATGTAAGACATTGATTAGAGGACACTTTTTTTTTTTATAATTTTTTCTGAAGGTGATGCATTCTTCAGTACAGAAGTGAGTTTGCATGCCCATATGCTTTTGGCTTAAAAAAAATAAAAATAAAAATAAAAAAAAGACAGTCAAAAAGCCCGAGGCTGAACTGATTCAGTCTTTGCAGGTTAGTTTAAGCTGCATAGATTGAACTGATAAGCAAGTGAGCAGACATTCACTCTGATTCTGGAAAATGCAGCCCCGTGCCTGCAGTGTCCCAGGGCCAAAAGCTGGGGGGGTGGGGTGCTAGAGCACATCTCCCTGCTTTGCTAGAGCAGACAGCTTGGACCAAGGCTAGCCTGCCCACCCTGTGAGGGGGTGTTTATAGGGATGGTGCAAAGCATCCTGGGATCCTAGAGGACTGAGAGTTGACTTGAATCTGAGGGGATCTGAGACCAGAAGCTTAATAAACTAGCTTAACCTAGATCCATTAAGTGTGTTATTGCATCCATCCAGGCTTATGTTAAACCAGCTTCAGACATCTTGAAAGTGGTTTATATGCACTGAAGTTCTGTTGTGTTGCAGATTTGAAGCAGTTTCTGATCGCTTGCACTGGTTTATATGTAATTTCTGTCCATATCCTTAGACATTTGAAAATCCTTCTCTACATAGTTTAAACTAACAAAAACAAAATCTAATAACTCTTTAATAAAGGCATGTTATGATTTATATATATTTTTTACAAGAAAATATTATGTTCTGCTACTTAACAGCCAACCAGAAGGGAGAACATAGTTGAATTAAATTTTTATCAGAGCTTGCTAACCAACAGAATCATGTTTTCTTGTAATGCATACAGAATCAAGGGAGAAAAATAAAAGCTAATAAATGTGAAATTGTACTTACAAAGTAGTATAATATGCATATGCTAGCTATTGATCGTGTCCCTTTTAATAACATAGATACTCATGAATAAATGTTGGTAAACATCCATAGAAACTATGGTAGATGTCCTATTTGTGATCATATCATGTTCTTTAATTTTCAACTAGTATTTTGTGACATGAATAATTGTTGTTAATATTGATAGTTAAAAGCATATTTTCTGATGTTTCAGAGTGCTGCTGCTACTGCAGCTACTTTGGCTTTACCTGCTGGTGTGACTCCTGTTCAGCAAATACTTACAAATTCAGGTAACTACTATAGCAGTAATTGGATTTTGGAAAACTTGATTCATTTACAAATCTGTTTTATTTCATGTAGAACTTTCTATAAAAATACTTTCTTCATATCTTGCAGACATGGTTGGGTGTTGTGGACCAGGTTTGGCTGGTGTGCCGCAAATTAGCTCTGCACCCTCAAAGTGCCGTTCTGGTCCCCTTCCTCTGCCCAATCTCCTGCTTTGCTTTATGCTCCATCTGTGATCTCCTGCTGTGCTGCCTGTCCCCCCCTCATCTCTTCTGTGCCGCACAGAGGCTGCCAGTGCCAGTTATGACACTCATGCCATAGATTGGCCACCCTTGCTGTGGACTGTCCCCTTGAGAGCTTTCATTTTGAAGTAGCAGTGTGTTTAAGTGTTCAAATAACTTTTTAAAATTCTCAACTTCTTCTCATTCATGGAATAATAAATTGAAGTTTCTTTCTTGGCTCTTTCTCCCAGAAACCTGCTTCTAAGCATAATATAATTTTAGATGTGGATATTTACATTTGAATAATTTTATTTCCATTGCAGGCCAGATCTTGCAGGTAGTTAGAACTGCAAATGGAGCTCAGTATATCATTCAGCCACAGCAGCCAGTGGTTCTACAGCAGCAGGTTATACCACAGATGCAGCCTGGTGGTGTACAAGCACCTGTCATACAACAGGTAAAGCGACATTTTTGCGTAAGTTGGCTCCTAACAAACCAAACCTTGCAACAGTTGTTACAGTAGTTCTTTGTTGTCTGCATTTTGAGAACATGTGTATGTGTTCTTCTGTCTGAAATGCATTACAAATATGCTAATACTGACTTTGAAAATTGGAAGATACTGCATTAAGAGATGGGGAACTTTATACTGAATTTCTTAAGAGTTAAAGTTTATTCAGCTTCTCTGAAGGGTCTTTCTACCTACTGTGTATCCAGTGTTACCAATTAAAAACTAAACATTTGTATCAAATAACATTGGTTTTCATCCTCCTGAGCTTTAAATTGGTTTCATGTGTCCCTTCCTTCCAAGTTAATTGTGCCTGTAACCTCTTGAGTATAAATCCTTGTGGCAAATAACTAAGCAGTCGGTGTAGATTTTTTTTTAAAAGCACTTTTTACTTTTGTGTGTCTAATAAATTTGCCACAGGATAGAATGCACACTTGAGGTTAACAGGGTTTTAAAGTAATACCTTATTAAAGGGGAACTGTCACATACTTTGGTCTAAATATTAGGCAGGTATAAGTTTTTAAATAAGGTAGTTTAATAAGATCAATTCAAATTATTTGAATTGAAACATGTCCCCCCAGCTGCTTGCAGCCTAACTACTGCAGTTACACATATGTATGAGAATAGGACAATGAAGTCGTAACTTTTTTTTGCCCCAATTTGTGCCAGTTGCAAAAAGTAAATCCTGTAAATAATGAAGGATGAACTGCCTTGTTAAACGAAAGATTAGCTTGGCTATCAGAAACACGGCACAAAAGAAAAGTGCTTTTACTCTAAACAATATGACTTAATGGCAGGTTTCAGTTGTAAGCGGTTCTGCTTATAGTACTTGCCTGAATGCTTTTCTGATCTCTCCCAACAATACACTGGTGTAATACAATATATGCAGTAGCACCCAGCTTCTTTGCAGGCTTTGATTCCTTAGCCCCCTACAAACATGAGGATGTGTGATGTAGCCAAGGGGTTAAATATAGCCCATCAGGGCAGGTAACCATGTTGCTTCTCCTGATCAGCTATGCAAGACCAATGATGAGGTCCTTCCGAGTGAAGAAGTGGCATCCTTTTGAAATAAAACAGTATATAACTTTAGCCACTTGCCCTTGTTTTGTCAACCTGTCATGAATTAAGCAGGTTGTGAACTTGGACAAATGACTTGGCTTCTACTGTAATACTTTACATCCAAATCTTGGCTACTATACGCATGCTCGGAGGAGGGAGGAAGGGGGAGCATTTTAATTAGCGCGGTTTCTGGACAGCTGCTCTAATTAGTGCCACAACATCACATGTATTAACCCCCCTGCATGTTTAAAAATGCATGCATTCCATGAGTTTTAGATAAGTGCCTGGTGGCCATTTTTAAATGCACAGGGACATTATAGGTGTAATGCTGCAGCATAATTGGAACGCAGAGCAGACTTGATTTAATTGAGTCTGCTCCAATGCATTCCAATTTAAAACACATCAGAGCACATGTATAGGCAGCCCTTGTTTCTTATATTCCCTGGTCAGTCTCAGCTACAACACTTCTGTTGTCAAGTATGCACAATGATTTACTTACATTAGAATCTCTTGTCAGGTCTTGGCTCCTATCCCTGGAGGGATCTCTCAGCAGACGGGAGTGATCATTCAGCCTCAGCAAATCCTGTTTACAGGAAATAAAACACAGGTCATACCCACCACTGTGGCAGCTCCTGCCCCAGCACAAGCACAGATTCCTGCAGCTGGTCAGCCACAGGCACAGCAACAACAGGCACAGCCCCAAGCACCCCTTGTGCTTCAAGTTGATGGAGCTGGGGACACATCATCTGAAGAAGAAGAAGATGAGGAAGAAGATTATGATGATGATGAAGAGGAAGACAAAGAAAAAGATGGAGGTGAAGATGGCCAGGTTGAAGAGGTAAACTTACAGTATAACATAACTAAGGTTTTTGCCCTTTTTGACCTCTGCGCTCTACAGGGATTTCATGTTGACTGACTTGTTCACAGTGAACTTCTAAACAGTTTCCAGAGCAGCTACTTCCCAGAAGACAGTCCTCCATACTGCAGATGGAGCTAGCTTCCACGTTTAGGAATAAGAATGCATGCTTTTGGTTTTATTAAATAGGCCCAGGGTACCAAACTTTAGGACTCTTGTCCTAATTTATTCATAATACCACCAATCTTGTACCTGTGAACTTAATCAGTAGTGATTTACCAAACTCTATGGAACCCAACTAGAATGGCCCCACTTAAGGACAATTCCCTCTTAACAGCCACTCTGGGATGTCAGCTTACCAGTCCTCAAATATATTCAATATATGTTCTAGACATGTTGTAGAGTACAGTTTTTTAATAGGAATATTGTCTAGTATCAAACATCTTACAAAATTCTTATTATATCTGTGCAGTTTCCTTTATGACCAAATTTCTGTTTTCATCAAGTAGCGATACCAAGTTTTTGACAAGACCTGTTCTCTGGAAAATTCATGTCAACTTGCATAAATTGAGTAATCATCTTTTACTTGATCAGTTGAATTCCTTATCAGCTGTTTTTTGTGCTGGATTGATTGTAGGGTGACCAGTGTACATTTGCCCATGTTATCCTGTGTTTCTTTTGGATATTGGAACAACAGTTGTACTCTGTCAGTTTGTGGAATTTCTGAGAATTATTAAGAAACTAACTTCAGAAGGGTGGGTCTCCTCAGCATTTTGTTAGTTTAGCCTTATCTGTTCACCTGAGTTGTTAATAAATTGAATGAGCTAGTTCCAGCTCTGTTTATCAGTTAAGATGCTCCTAATGCACCACCTGAAAGAGTGGAGGAAATGGGGGCCAACTTTTTTGATAGGCATTCCACAAATTGAGCCCCACACCCTCCTTGAGTGCCATCCAGACCCTCTTCCCTTGCCCACTCTGCTTTTTGTTTCCTGCCCTACTTGCCATGGTTTAGCCTGCTCCCTCCTGGCTCTGCCACATGCTACACATAAAGATTGCCTGTGCTGCTTGTGGCATA